GGAAGTATTTACGATTGTTAAAAACTTCAGGGGAGGTTTTTGTATTTTACCCAAAAAAACAAARCACACAGGACAAATAACAGCTCCCCATTTGGAGAGAATGCAAGATTTTTGTATTTGCCAAGCAGATCTTTAAGCTAGTGAGAGGAGCTCTAAACCACTCTTGGTTGACAATGTGCTACCTCATTACCGTTAATTGACAAAGAAGAATCAAGTAACCTATAGAAAAGTATTGAGCAGATGTGTAATTTTTGTTGTTCCAGTAAATTAGTTCATGTATTCAAAATAGAATAAAATTGGGTTTTTCAAAAAAAATTAATCACTTGTGACCTTCCTAGAGGTGTAAATCGGGCCCTTTGGACCGGTTTGGCATGGCCTGGCACGATGGCACGTAGGCCGTGCCAAGCCCGACCCATATATATTATATATAATATAATATAATATATAATATATTAATAAAATAAACAATTGTTTTTAATTTTATTATATTAATTTATTTAATTATTGTATATATATAAGCAATTGTATATATTAAAGTTCATATAAAATTAAAATTTTAAGTTTTTTTTAATTGTTTAAATAAATAGCTTTGGCCTAATCCACAGCCTGGCCTGGCTTGGCCCACGAGTCGGGCCTACACGGGCTTGGGCCGTGGGCCGTGCCGGGCCAATCCCCCAAGTTATCCCAAGGGAGGGTGACACGACCCATTTACACCTCTAACCTTCACTCTTGATGGATTCACAACGAAGGAGACAATTTTGTCCAATGACATCACCTAACAGGGGTGGTCTAAGTCCAGTCTAAAAAGAGAGGGGATATTTAAGTATTTAGGAAAAAAATGTAGAGAGGTTTATGTCATGAAGGGAGGTATATGTCTTGATTCTTCAAACATGTGTCCTAATATGGATGCCAAATATGAATGGGCCCCATAAGGCGAAGCCAACCATTGGGGTGGGGAGTGGGAGGAGGGAGAAATTTTATATGAAATACCATATTAAAATGGGGATTTCTGGACCAGGGGGGATGGCTCCCCTAGGTTCCTCCCGGATCTGCCCCTGCTGCTAGTTGTAGCAGAGACTTGGGGTTGAATCCCACCTGCACCTAGTTGGGGGATGGGCTCCCCCCAGTTGTGTAGCCCTTCAAAAGAAAAAAAAAACTAAGAAGCTTATAATAAAAGTGGTGTTTGGTACCATTGTTGTTTTACGAAGAAATGTTCTGTATGGATTTGTCATATAGAATGGGACAAAACATCTTTTCTCACTTTATAACAATTATGCATCACACAAGTCATAAAATGAAAAAAAAATTACTTTACCATTGGAGAAAACATCATTTTAACAGTTTTTTAATAAATGCTTTTTAGAGAACTTGAGACAACCGTTTTCTTGATAATTTACTCAACTAAACAAAAAATGAGGCGCCATTGGAATAAAGCTGCAAAGAAAGTGCTTAGATATCTGCAAGGAACTAAATAGTATGTTCGCACATAAAAAAGAGGGGAGGAACTGAATTTGTGTGGGTATACCAATTTGGATTATGCTAGTTGTCCTGACACTAGAAAGTCCACGTCGGGATATGTATTCCTGCTTGCTGGAGGAGCAACAATTAGAAACTAAGAGCTTCCTCCACAATAGAAACAAAGTTTATTGGGTGCCATGATGCTACAACACATGCAGTGTGGTTAAAAACTTTATTGTTAGCCTGGGTGCTCTTGTATTAGATTATGCAGACAGACCAATACAACTTTACTGTGACAATGTAGTAGTTGTATTTTTCTTTAAAAATAACAAGAACAATAGCCAAATCAAGCACATAGATTTAAAGTACTTGGTAGTGAGGGATAGAATACAAGAAGCGCAAGATAGACATCCAACACATTAAAACCGACAAGATGTTGGTAGACCCCATGACTAAGGGGTTATTCCCTATTATTTATCAAAACCATATGAAAAACATGAATATTGTCAATTCGCTGGATGAAGGTAGCTTGATTGGATGACACATGTCGATGCCTATCTATAGATGTCCTATAGCCTGTCACCTTGTGCACATATATACAATGATAGACAGTGGACCAAAACACAACAGTGTCTATACACTAAGGGTTGTGATGTATAATGGTATACTGCATGGAAGGAAACTCTTAGTCAGAGGAAACCACCATAATTTGCATTATTCTAGCAATTTCCTAAGTGGTTTGATTACATGTGTACACTTACACAATCATTAGCCTTTATCAAGCTAAATTTATTTTATGATTTCCCTCTATGCCCACTAGTTGGGCCAAGTGGGAGATTGTTAGAAAATACCCATAAGGTAGGAACCAGATTGTGGCCCATCATAGTGGCCATGATCTAGATTGTCTAGTCCTAATCCAACCACCCAAATAGAGCTCATTATGTGAGTGGTAGGACATGAACACCTTCTTAGAATAGCTCCACAACTTGAGGGATTTGACATTTAAATTTAAAATTTGAATAGACCCCATTTATTTGGAAATAATGGAATTGTTAAAATCATGGGAATTAAATCCCAAATCTTTAGGTAAGTTCTTTGATAGGGGGAGCTTGCCTAAAAGAATTAATATGAGAGAGGACTTCTCTCTATTATCCAACCTCCAACTTATGATAGTGTTTTCTATCAGCTGTTATTTAGAGAAAAGATACATGAGAGAACCATTGTTACTCAAGGGGATAGACCAAGTCCTTACAGTCACCAAGTATCTATCTTGGTGGTAAAAGATATTACGTTCAAGTGGAAACACCTATATTGATTCAGGTCTAGGTACTGCAATGCCTTGTCTAGTCACTTTCTCAACATGATTGGCTGTTAATTTCTTTTTTTTTTTTTTTTTCTAAAGAACAGCAGCACCAGGTCACAAGCTCTCTCTGTCTTGATCATGAACGTAACATATCATTGGCAAATTGGCTTTATTTTTTAGTTTTGCTTTTGTGGGTCCTCGACCAATGATCTCTCTTTTGCTCGTATATAGGTTTGGTGGAAGAGAGAGTTATATATTCTTCCAAGTAGGACACCCTTCGTCACCCTGCACATGTTGATGGAGGTGTCCTCTACTCCTCTTCCAACATGTATCAGACTATCAGGTCAACGTGTCGATGACAACACAGATGCACCTATCTCCACCTTGTACTGTCTACCCACTCCAGAGACAACCATGCAGAGTTGCTCGATTGGTTACCAGTATACACAAACAACCCTCTCTTCTATGGTTTTCTTCTTTGCACCACGAAAAGATTGCTTTCCTTTCCTTTAGTGTTGTTTTTGTTCTAAATTGACTGAAGACAAGAAGATATTGTCGTCATTGCGCAAGCAACATTGTCTCAAGGTATCATAGTGTCAACTTGTTTGTTTTTTGCTCTAAATGAGTTGTTTCATTATTTATCTAAGCTTTTTATAAGGTTTGTAGGGAAAAATAATAGAGGGGATATTCTAAGTTTTAGTCTTGTGTGCAGAAATTGAAGACTAAAGTGAACAGACAGACTTCTATTGCAAATTTGCAATGGCAGAGCACAATGATGTAGAGTACGTGAACATTGGTGAGGGATCTGATCCCAATTTGGATAACTTGAAGAAGGTTTCAGTTTTACCTCTTGTATTTCTCATCTCCTATGAGGTATCAAAAGGCCCTTTTGGTGTTGAGGACAGTGTCCAGGTGGCTGGTCCCCTTCTAGCCCTAATTGGATTTCTGGTTTTTTCATTTATATGGAGTATTCCTGAGGCTCTAATCACTGCAAAGATGGGTACCATGTTTCCAGAAAATGGAGGCTTTGTAGTTTGGGTTTCAGCAGCACTAGGGCCCTTCTGGGGTTTCCAGCAAGGTTGGATAAAATGGCTGAGTGAGGTCATTGACAATGCTCTGTACCCAGTTTTGTTCATGGACTATCTTGAATCAGCTATCCCGGTTTTATCTGGGTGTTGACCTAGGATTCTAGTAGTGTTATTCTTGAATTTGCTTCTCACATACATTAACTACAGGGGTCTAACAATGTTAGGCTAGATAGCCACCTTTTTGGGGGGTTTCTCCCTGCTCCCTTTTCTGGTTATGGGACTCATTGCCATCCAAAAGTTGAAGCCCTCAAGATGGCTAGTGGTAGACTTGCACAGTGTGGATTGGCATCTCCACTTGAATACTTTGTTTTGGAATATGAACTATTGGGATTCAATTAGTACTCTCATAGGAGAAGTTGACAACCCAAGTAGAGCTCTGCCCAAGGCTCTCTTTTATGTTCTTATCTTGGTTGTATTTGGCTACTTCTTCCCTCCTCTAATTGGTACCAGAGCTATTCCACTCTGTCGTGATTCATAGTTTGATGGCTATTTCTCAGACATTGCCAAAATGGTAGGTGGGGTCTGGTTGAGATTGTGGGTCCAATGTGCTACTGCATTCTCTAGTATGGGAATGTATGTGGCTGTTATGAGCAATAGTTCTTTCCAGCTTCTAGGGATGGATGAGCGTGGGATGCTTCCTGAGTTATTTGGTAGAAGGTCTCGTTATGGAACCCCTTTACTTGGTACCTTGTTCTATGCCTCTGGTGGGATTCTACTCTCATATTAATCTGTTTGGTTTTAGCTCTTACCTCTCTTAGGACAATGGCTATATGCCTAATTGCTTTTCTAGTTGGATGTGCTATGCAACCTGGTCTTAACTATGTTGAGAAGAAGGGATGGGTCAAGTTCACCATTTGTTCTGAACATCAGCATCTCTGTACAACTAATTAGAGGATGCAGAAACCTTACACGGGTGTCGGGTCTACGTCTGCCAGGAAAAAAAGTAGTTGCTGGTCCCACCAGAGCCCTTACAGGCTTGCAGGTTTTGTTAGAGAGTGTAATTAATATATATCCAATATAGGATATCAAACTTCAACAATTCCTAATTTCCCAAGGAAACAAGAACAAAACTGCACAAAATAAGTGAGATAGCCACATTCAAGTGAACAAAAGCAGGATTGTCGCTGATTCCAGATTTTTCTCCTGTCATGTCATTGCAGCTTGTTTATAATGGTTCTCCAGTGTCTTGTATTGCCCTCATAGCTACTTTCATCCAATGCTTCAAATGGTAGTCCTTTCCATGGAACCTTTCCTGATAGAATATTGAAGGCAACAGTAAATGTTGAGAGAGAGATCGATTGCATCATCTCAGGCGGAATTTTCCTTGCTAGCTTGTTGTGGGAAAGATCTAAGTTCTCTAACACAAACATGTTAGCCAAGGAGGCAGGAATATGACCTGTAAGAAGGTTAGGTGACATGTTCAGTGATTGGAGGTATCTAAGATCTCCAATTTCTAAAGGAATTTGACCTGTCAATTGGTTGCCTAAGAGATCTATTCCATATAAAAGTTGCAGCGCTACACCACTGTTATAATATGTTGCACCCTTGATCTTGAATTCAATAAGCTCAGTTTATGTTTCAAATGGATGATAATTAGAAATCTCTCCCCTTAAAAAAGTAACATTGTTTAAGCAAGAAGGAATGGTCCCTAAAAGACTGTTGTTAGAATGATTTAGTAAACCATTGTTTTGCATTCGACACAATTGTCTTGGAATGGGACCTTGGAAATGATTTTTTGCAAGGAGGAGAGCTCTCAAAGAAGGAAGGACTGGCAATTGAACTGATACCTTTCCCGACAAATAGTTATGCCCAATGCCAAAGACTAGCAAGGAAGAGGAGTTGGACAAGCAATGTGGGATTGATCCTGTGAAGCTATACTGATAAGATACAACCATTTCAAATTTGGCATGTTGCAGTCTTCTGGGAACATTTCACCTTGCAAGCTGTCATTTGACAAGTCCAAGTACTCCAACCTGGTGGCGTTTCTTGCTAAACTGTATGGAATCTCTCCATGTAAGAAATTGTCAGACAGATCAAAATGCTGTAGTTGATCCATTTCTCCATAGGATGGAGGGATGAGGCCTTCAAAGTAAGCATTGTATGCTAAAAATGTTACCAAATTGGCAAAATTTCTGTGCAGGTTTGTGGGGAATGGCCCATAAAAGAAATTTTTGAAAATGTCAAGTGAAGCAAGCAGGCCAATTCTGTTACCATCAAGCTGAGGGAATGGACCAGTGAAGTTATTGTTATTTAAACTCAAAATTGAAGAAACATTAAAGAACAACCAAGTAGGGATGCTACCCACATGTGAGTTCTTTGAAGTAATATTGGGTGGAGATGAAGCTTGGAATTCTTTTGCCACCATGTTTGTTGAGGTTACAAGAAGCTAAGCGTAGTCCATCCAGTTGAAAAGTTGGAGACCAAGTTGGGGATTCTGTTTCCACTTCCAAAAGAAGATTATGTTAAAGATCTAGATGAGTAAGTTTAGAGGGGTTGGCAAACATGAAAAATGGGACCCGACCTTGGAAACTGATGATGCGCAATCCGGCCACTCCTAGCTGGAAGTGACTGAGCTTCTAGCTGGCAACGGGCAAGAGATACCTGCGTGAAGAGAGATGAAGGAACCCGGGGTTGCTCACCTGGTGGGAGCACTCCGATGCTTAAGTTAGTACTCGGTTGCGAGCTGGAAGAGAATGAGTTTGCAAGAAGAGAAAGCTAGAGAGTGGTGAATATGCGATACCTTGGCCCCTGGGGGTTGAAGTCTTTATATACTGGCATCCTGATAGGTTTGGTGGGATTGATCCCGAATCTCTGCCGYGGCGATCTGTTGTCAGGTAACATTTCGGAGTGACTGGCTATCATCGTCAGGACTGGGGATCAGGTGGGCTAATGCGACCGTTGTAGGGTACGGTCTCGCCAGGCAGGAGACAATCTCCGGGGTTGGCAGGCACGACGCCGCCAGGCGAGAGACATGAGTGCAGTCCTCAGAGTTGGCAAATACTACACCACCAGACAAGGGACGTGGGTGCAATCTTTAGGGTTGGCAGGTACGGTCCTATTAGGCAGGAAGCTTTTGACGAGATGCCGGGCTACCTGACAACGAGCAACCCTATAGCGAGCTACTTGGTGGCGAGCTACCCGTGATGAGCTACTGGTGGCGTGCCGAGGTGATTCTGCCCGAGGCAAGTCGTCTTCGAGGTGGCCCACTTGTTTGGGATCGGACTGCTGTCAACTTGGTGCTATTCTTTTAGTTCGCGAGCTGGGATGGACTCAACCCAAAGTACCTTTAGCTTAGGACATTAGTGTATTCGAGCTCGTTCTATAGCGAGCTGATACTTGCTGAGTTATCGCCCGCGTTGAGCCATGTCCACGTGCCGATCTGCTCATGTCGAGTTGTCGTTTACGTCGAGTCACGTACACGTGTCACCCAATTATGAGGTCGGGCCAAATCATCCCTTATGAATAGACCTGTTCATGGGCCAGGTAGCTCGACGGCCCAGCCCGGCCCGGCTCGCGCCCCGGCCGGGCTTGGTCATATAATTAGGCCCGTAGGCCTGACCTCGGGCCTAATACAGTAAGCCCGACTGTGTTTCGGGTCGGGCTCGGGATTTGTCAAAAAAGCCCAGCCCGACTCAGTATTATATATTATATAAAATATATAAATAATATAATATTTATTAATATATATATTTATAATTTAATATATATATATATTTATTTATTCTTTTCTTTATAATTTCAATCTCTCTCTCTATTCAACCACTTCAACATTAATAATAGTAATAGTATAGGCTAAATTTCGGGCCCGGGCCCAGGCTCGGTCTTCGGGCTTTTTATGAGGGTCGGGCTCGGGCCCAAGCTGTAGGCCCGATGGTCGGGCCGGGCACGGGCTCGGGCCTTAGAAAAATTTGTTAATACACAGCAAAAGCCTGGCCCGTGCCTGGCCCGACCCGGCCCATGAACAGGTCTACTTATCAATTGCCCCCCACTCCTCGAGCTAGGGGTCTTGACCATGATGTGACAAGTGGATTTGCCTCAGAGTTCAGGCCGCCCCATCAAATCGTGTGTGGCTTATGCGCGGACGTCACACGAACTATAAGTCCTGCGGACGCCAAAAAACGCACTAAACTGTCTTCGGTCTCGAGGGTTGTGCAACTGATTTTCTTGTGAGCCGTCAAATTGCTTTGATCTCGACGGTTGCTTCTTCGGTACAATGGCTATAAATAGGGGGTCCTGAGACTCATTTTTACATCAAAAGTTGTCTTGCCTTCGACTTGAGGTCGCGCTCTAGCTCTGTTAGCTCGGGTCTTCCCAGTTCGCGTCTTTTCTCCAGTTCGGTCATCTTTCTTTGGTGAGTCCCTTTGCTTCCTTTCAATTCGGTTCAGTTATGTCTTCTAGTTTTGATAGCTTTTTAGATGAGGTTGAGGTTGGTACCTCGACCCGGGTCAGTAGCCGAGACAAGGCTACTTCAGGCTTAGGTGTAGCCCACGGTCTTCCCGAGGGGCAGTCTCCCCCAGAGGCTCGAGAGGCTTCTGGTAACCTGACATCTGCTTCTCATCGAGGTCGAGTGCCAGACAACTTTGGTCCTTCCTCAATGACCCCAAACAGGCTTTGGGCTCTGGTACTTCGGTACAACCTCYCGAGGGAGCTTTCCTATATTATCCTTGGGGGCAATTTTCCTTGGGAGCACGATCACAATGAGATCGTGATTTTTGAGGAGCAGCTCGTGGCTGGCCTTCGTTTTCCCTTGCACCCGTTGATCGTAGAGGTCCTGAAACACTTTAGCGTTACCATAGATCAATTAAACCCGAACTCTGTCCATAATGTAGTAGGGACTATTTCACTTTTCCATGAGTATTGTCTCCCTCTCACCCTCGAAATCTTCTCTTTGATTTTGTCTATAAAAAATGCTTTCCACAGCGCCCCCGCGCACAAGCGGTCTTACTATCTGTCCCCCCGCTCGGGCTACAAGCTTCTTCACAGGCTACCCAATAAGATCCCAGCCTGGAAATGGGACTACTTCGTGGTCCGCAACCCCGAGGGGTGGCCTTTTCCAACCCACTGGAGGGCTGCAATTCAGGATTCTGGTGTTAGGCTAGACCTAAAGATGAGGGAGGTGCTTCAGTCCTGGGCAGAGCTCGGCCTTATCTGCACAGACTACCTTGCTGAAGATAAGCTCGTGTAGGCCGGCTTAAGTCCTGGTAGGTTTCTTTAGGTTTTTCCTTTTTAAGGTTTTGATAGCTCATGCTAACCTTACTTTTTGCCTTTTGCAGTTACAATGCCAGAGGTCGATGCACGAAGCCTCTTGATGAGTTCCCGAAAGGGGAAAAAGAGGGCGGCAAAGAGGCTGCGTCTGGATGAGGCTTCGTCGTCTAGGGCGCCCGAAGCCCAGATCGTTGAGCCAGTTTCTATCAAGCTCTCCACAGAGGAGGCTCGACCTACGGACCCCGAGGTGGAGATAATAGAGGGCGGTGATGAGGAGGCCCATCCTCAGGAGTCGGAGGATGCGCCCGTGCAAGCTTCAGAGGGGCCTGCTACTGAGTCAGAGCTCGCTCCTGCTACGGGAGAGGAGAGCATCACGAACCACGTGCTCGTGGTGCGAAAGAGCTGGGACATGATCTTCCCGAATGAGGTTGCGCGGTGGTCGGAGATACTTCCGAGGCAGCTCCTATGACTAGCTGCTACTCACTACAAGGTGGTAAGCATTCTGCCTTTGGCCCCGTTCTTTTGTTTTTTTTTACCTCAATTTTCTTTTGACAGGTGAATTCCGCCCTTCACGCGTTGGTGTGCCATTCTACGACTCACTCGAAGTAGGCTCGGGATGCTAAGGTAGAGACGCGAAAGCTCCATCGCGAGTTGAACTTGGCCCGAGGTGAGGTACTTCGGGCGAAGAAGGGAGGTGAGAGCCAGAGGCAGTTAATTTTGGACCAGGAGGAGCAAATCTCCTTACTGACCGAGGAGAACACTAAGCTTAAGGAGCAGATCTCCGCGATGGCCACGAAGGAAGAGAAGCTGACCGTGAAAATGACTGAGGAGAAGGCACAACTTCAACGAGAAATCCAAAATCTCCAAGCAACGGTCCAAGAGAGAACTCAAACCCTTGATACCGCTGTCGAGGAGGTGCAGTTAGAAGAGAGGACCAAGGCCATTGAATGCTTCAAAGAGTCTTCGAAATTCCGCGCTCTTTAGGTTGAGTACGGTTCAAGCTCCTATCGCTCCGGGTTCAAGCTCTACAGACATCTGGTTCGGGAGGAGTTCCCTGATCTTGACCTCGGTGCTATCACGATGAAGGGCCTGGCTCCGGAGGCAACAAGTGCAGCGAACGAGGAGCCTAACTCGTCAGAAGAGGAGAGTGATAACGAGGTTGAAGTGGTGGATCCTTTCGCATGATGGCTCCTTGCTTTCTCTCTTCTTTTTTTTGAACTGTGGATGTACTTTCCCGGGCTGCTGAGCTCGAGTTTTAGTAAAAACTCTTGTACTAAGAGTTTTTGTTAATGAAAGAATATTGTTTCAACCCAAATCATTCTTTTTCGATCTAGATGACACATGTATAGGTTATCCAAGCCGTCGAGCTACCGAGCTGGCAATAAGCGAGGGTAACCGAAGTACGGATCGTCACTCCAAGCTGCATGAGTCACCTCGAACTATCAGGCTACCGGGCTTGGTAACGAGTGAGGGTAACCACGGCGAAATTTTTCTGAGTGTTTGTCACTTCGAGCTGTTTGTATATGAGCCACTTGTTTAAGCATTGGTCCTTTGGTGGACCTGGACTACGATTGCCGCCGAGGTGGTATAGACATCGTAGGGTTCATGCCCGAGCTGTCTATACTTTCGGTTCTAGTAGCAAGGCAACGGGGTCTTATGTGTTTCCGTCAGTTCGGTATTTTTAGCCCTTAAGCTCTAGGAGCGACTCGGAGTCCACTCCTAAACTTTGCTCATGCCAAAGAGGTGACTGGAGCTTATGCAGTGCCGAGGTCTTTGCCAGTTTGGCACTTTAGCCCTTAGGCTCTGGGAACAACTCGGAGTCTACTCCTACAATTTTCCCATGCCAAGGAGGTGACTGGGGCTTATGCGGTGCTGAGGTCTTTGCCAGTTTGGCACTTTAGCCGTTAGGCTCTGGGAGCGACTCGGAATCCACTCCTACAGTTTGCTCATGCCAAAGAGGCAACTGGGGCTTATGCGGTGCCGAGGTCTTTGCCAGTTCGACACTTTAGCCCTTAGGCTCTGGGAGCGACTCAGAGTCCACTCCTAAAGTTTGTCCATGCCAAAGAGGCGACTGGGGCTTATATGGTGACGAGTCTATCAATTCTTAGGCCTTGGGAGTGACTCGAAGTCCACTCCTAGGMTTTCTGAGAATGACTCTCA